GTACTAAAAGTTGTGAAAGAAGAATGCAAAGAAATTTTTCAGTAAAAAAAAATTCAAGCAAAAAGTCCATCCATTAGTTGGGGGATTTTTAGTGAACTCTTCCTTTTGTATCAAAAATGTTAAGGATTAGTGTTATGGTGGATAACAGCTTAGAGCTTTGTGATACATTAAAACTACAAAGTCCATGTATATTATATGCCTACACATGTGTTTATTTGTAGTAATATGTATATGTATGTGGACATATATCTGCACATGTATATACACACCCAAAAGTACAATCAATAAAAGTACAATCAATAAAAATTTCATTGTAACACTAAAAAGCCGCATCATCTTGACCAGCTCTTTCTGTAACCAGTCATGTAATCCATTTTAACTAGGTTGTGCCGATATTAAGAAGCAGCAGGAACACTTAAGTTGCTCTGATTCCTTAGTTTGTCTTTATTTCCCATACTAAAAGCATGATGCCTGTGAGACAACTCAGCCAAGGATTCAGGGAACCTCTCCTGCTGGGGAGGCCCAGGTCCTTGCTTTTTCAAGGAAAACCAGAATTAGAGAAAGGAACAGCGGTTCCCCGCCTCTGTGGTTCTCAAAGTGTGGTCCATAGAACCATACTAGCCCAGACCTTTTTAAGGGATCTCACAGATCAAAATATAATGGTGCAAAATCAATGGTGGACAAGGTGCCTTTGCACGAATCAAGAGAGAGGCACCATATTATACTGTAGGGGCTGTATTCTTCATGGGTACACACTTGTATTTTACTTTTTTTAAGCCAGTTTCTCTTAATGTCCCTCTTAAAGCAGTAAAAATTATTACTTTAGTAACTGTCAACCCTTGGCTCTAAATTACATTAGTACACTAGGTCATGTAATGGGAAAAACCCACAGAGCACTACAGCTTCCTCCCACGGGAGAAGGGCGTCTCAAGGGAAAGAAAGCCCTATGTGATATTTGAGTTGAAGGTTGAATTAGCTACTTTATCACACTGCTTTTACTTGAATAAAACAACTGGTTATTTTTGAGTATGTGGCATGTTTTATTCACAAAATGAATGAAGTGAACCTGCAACTTAAAGGAGAGCAGCAAATATTTGTTGACAGTAATGAAATTCGTATTCTAAAATAATAATTAGAATTTTGGAGAACTTGTATCCATCACATGAGCTTGACAGTTTCTCAATACTTAAAAAATTCTTCTGATGATAGCAATGGTTGATATTAATTACTATGATTTTTTAATATTGTACTGATTTTTTAATATTATACAATGAAATGTGTCAACATTTGGAAGATTGCGTAACTCAGTGATCCATTAGTTTCTAATTACTAATGCATGCTATTCCAGAATCATGCTTGGGTAAAAAGATTTATTTGAAGTATAAGACAGACTAAGGGGTTTTAAGATGGAGTCTAAAAAGTTAATTGGTATGGTTTCCAGATTCCATGTTGCAAGTCTAGGTTTAGTATAAGTAAGTCAAGGTTTAGTATAGTCTCAAAAGTGAATATCCATAATAACTTGAAAAGCTATTGAGATACTCCTCACATTTCTAACCACATATATTTATGAGACTATGTTTTACTTGTTCATTTCAACTCAAACAACATATCACAATAGATTAAATGCAGAAACAGATCTTGGAATCCAGTTGTCTTCTGTAGTAAGGTGATATTAAAGAGATTTGCAAAAAGGTAAAATAATGCCATTATTCTAATTTCTGTGTTTTGAAAAATATAGTCCTTTTTAATGATAATACATATTAATCTGGATTGATTTTATTTTTATAATGAATTAATATATTTTTAAAATTTCTTGGTTTTAATTTCTAACATGGTAAAAATATTTGTGCTAGTCAGTCAGTCACAGAATACCTTGTGACCAGAATATATTGTGACAAGAATACATTGTGACCAGAATACCTAACAAGGACATCTTAAGAGGATGAAAGATTTTAGCTCATGGTTTCAGAAGCATCAGTCCATAATAATCTAACCGTAAGGCAGAAACAACATAGTGGAAGGGTGTAGCAGAGGAAAGCTCCTTTGCTTACAGCAGTAGGGAAGCACACACAGAGAGAGAGAGAGAGAGAGAGAGAGAGAGAGAGAGAGAAGAAGAAGAAGAAGAAGAAGAAGAAGAAGAAGGAGGAGGGACTAAGGCGCAGTCCCAAAGGCCATATCCCCAGTGACCTACTTTCTCCATTCATGCCCTACCTGCCTATAGTTTTCACCACCTCCCAGTAAATTCATTCAAATTATTAATCCATCAAATTATTAATCCACTGATGTGCTAAGAGTCTTTATGACCCAATCATTTCTCCTCTGAACATTGCTGCATTGCCTAACCATGAGCTTTAGAGGGACACTCCAGATCCAGACAATCACAATATTTATAATAGCTGATGCTAACACTTTAGGGCTCTCGTGTTTTAGAGCATGAAGGAGTCCTAAGACCAAAAAGTTTGAGAACCACTGTTCTATATTGATACATTTTCCTCCTGAGACTGTCCCAAGCTTCAAGGAATAAGCTTAATTTCCTCCAAGGTATAAAGGCACTTATCATCAAAGAGACAACAACAAAATCTGTCAAGGAATAGTAGACTTTGGCACAGGTACTTTGATAATTGTCACTTTCTTTGCTACTAAATAGGATCATCCCAAATATGAGTTAAATAAGCATTGCTCCATGAATGGCCATGTAAATGCATTCATCATTTATTCAACAGTTTTGGGGGGCATCTTGTTTTTGGACATTATAGCATTCAAAGTGAAATAAAACAGTAGCTCTTGAAGCAGAACTTGGAAGTTAAGATGAATTAGTCCCTATCTGATTATCACTGAAACGACTGACTGGAACATATTTGGGTCAGTGAGATTGTTGTGATTTATTGATAAAAGAGACCATAAGGTGTCAGGAAAGTCAAAGTGTGAGCTAGTCTGAAATTTTTAGCAGGTGTGGTTTGCCTGCAGTGTCTGTTTTAAGAATGAACACACACACACACACACACAGTATCAGTTCTATTCTCAAAAAGTTTGCAGCCCATGAAGAAATCTTTCAAGTGCTGCAAAGATATCGAGTAGATAGGTCATAGGCGAAAGCATCACGAGGCAGCTGAAATTTTCAACATTGTAAAAGTACAGATGCAAAAGGAAAGCAAATTATTGTTTAAGAAAAGTCATAAGGCAGAGGACAGAATGAATAGCAATATTTTCTAAAGCTATAAACACCAATAAATTCAAAGGAAAAGCTTGGCTTTTATCCAGGGTGTTTATTGTATAGTCCTTAATTCAGTGTTAGGGAGGGAAAATCCATGAACCAAACAAGATTTAGGAGACAGAGTAGCAAATGTAACCTTTCCTCTGCCTTATTAGTTAGGACTAAGCAGGAAGGACGGGTGTCGAGAGCTAGATTATTAGATCTAAAGAAGGTTGAAGAGAGTTTTTCATTTTGGCCTTCATTGGCCTCCCTTATTCCTTGCCATAAAATAAGGAAAGAATACTTCTTCCCAGAGTAGCAAGATGATTAACCCCAAGTCTTGGATCACAGTAAAGGCAATGATGATGAGAGTGACAAAGGAGAATGCAGATCAAGAAAAAGATATGCCTCTTTCCCTTTGTGCAGAACCTCATGTGTACCCCATTCACTTAGCTTCTGTCATTTAGACACAATAGGAATTTTATGTTAGTCAGCTTCCTGTCAGTGTAACAAATACCTGAGACAAATCAACTTTAAAGCAGGAAAGGTTTATTCTCAAAGATTTATTTACACTTTTGGAGGTTTCAGTGCATGGTTGGTTGACCTGTTGCTTTGGAGCCTGTGGCAAGGCAGTACACGATGGTGGGAAGCATGGTGGAACAAGCTGTTCTTCCCATGGAAGGCAGAAAGCAAAGAGAAGAGGGGAAAGGGCTGGCATCCCAACATCTTATTTAAGGGCATGCCCCCTGTGGCATAAAACCTTCCACTAGACCCCAATCTTAATGGTTCCACCAACTCCCAAGAGCACCACAGGCTAGTGACTAAGCCTTGAATATATGAAATTTGGGGGGGGGGGCACATATCCAAACTATAGTAAGTTTCCAGGGCAAACTGATTTCTCAGAGGAAAAAAAAATCAGCATAAGTGAGAGGGTATCAATGGCATATGAAAAGCATTAAGAAATAGAGAACAGAAATCAAGACAAAAGAAAAGCACAACCAGGCATGGTGGCATCTTCGAGCAATCCCAGTGATTTGGGAGGCTGAGGAAAGAGGATCACAAGTTCAAAGCCAGCCTCAGCAATTTAGCAAGGCCCTCAGCAATTTAGTGGGACTCTGTCTCAAAATAAAAAATAAAAAGGGCTGGGGATGTGGCTCAGTGGTAAAGTACCCCTGGGTTCAGTCCCTAGCACTTAAAAAAAAAAATCGCAGAGAAAATGGGGGCAGGAAGAGAAATTGTGGTACTTTCCAATCCACCAATACCACCAATATGATCTCTCTTAAAATACAATAACTACATGGCAAAATGGTTTTCCTTCCTTGTGGAGGAAATAAAATGTGTTACAAGTAGGGCTAGGTAAAGAAATAACACAAATGAATGCCAAAATGATACTTTAAAAATAGTTTAAAGCAGTAACCCAGGAAGGCAAGATAAAGAGCTAAAGCATTTTATAGGGTGGACTCTGTTCTTGCTGGCATCTCTGTGTTCTGTTTGAGTCAAACAGAGGTCCAAGAAATAACTGGGATTTGGCCATGGTCCCTGTGCCCACTGAAGCACGAGTGAGCCTGACTACTAGACAGTGGTTCAGGACAGGTCCTTGCCTTGTCCATGGGAGTCTCCTCATTTCCTCAATTGGTGGTTTTACTTAGTGGCTCATTGAGACCCTGGTTCCCGGACAGCTCCTGGGCTCCTGCAGACCTGGGCTTCTGATGGGCAGAAGCAGCATTTCAAAAGATGGTAAAAGGGTCACTAGTATTATGTCGTGCTTGAAGATAAGTTAATTCACCAGCAGTCTCTCCTTTCTCAGAAACATGATTCCAGTGACAGAATTCCGGCAGTTCTCTGAGCAGCAGCCTGCCTTCCGGGTGCTGAAGCCATGGTGGGACGTGTTTACCGATTACCTGTCCGTGGCCATGCTGATGATCGGTGTATTTGGATGTACTTTACAGGTGGGTACGAGAACCATGGCGAAATGGAGCCAGGGTAAAAAAAAAATGTCAAGTCATTGAAGCTTCTTAAATGTCAAGTCATGGAAGCTCCTTAAAAAGAGCTGGCTGTGTCATTTTTAACCATGTAAACATTAGTTGCTCTTCTCTGTTTGTATATAGCATTTGTAATCATGGCAGGGAGCCTGAGACACATATTTACTAAACTTTTTCTAATAAGGTAAATATGGTACTTGTGAGATTTCAATGATCCCAACTGCAGTTGACTATTGTCAAGTCAATGTCACCAACATCAAAGAGGGAGCCTACCTTTCAAAGTTGACTTTACTGCAGAATATATTATATATTTCCAGAGTGCCATTTACATTGCCAAAACAGAACTTTAGGGGTTTTTTTGCTTATAAAAGCTTGTAAGATTTTCTGAAAGAACTACTCTTTTGGTGAGATATCATTATTTTGTCCAATGTTCAGTTCTGAATTAAACTGTAGCACAATCAAAATGTATTCTACACAGATGCTACTATTCATATATTGAATCTAGATATATTTTGCACCATACTTTGAGCAGATGGATACCTGTAAGTAGTTCGTTTCTAGGGGAGAACTAAATACATTAGCAATCAGGAGACGTTGTATTGCACTATGATACAGATGTTTCCATGGCAGGAAGGGAGTACAGAGGGCTTAGCTTAGGAAAAGAGAAAAGGTAATAGTTGCATTAAAACTTGGAAAACCAGGCTGGGCGTGGTGGCACAGACCTATAATCCCAGTGGCTCGGGAGTCTGAGGCAGGAGGATCATGAGTTCAAAACCAAACCTCAGCAATAAGTGAAGCACTAAGCAACTCAGTGAGCCCTGTCTCTAAATAAAATACAAAATAGGGCTGGGGATGTGGCTCAGTGGTCGAGTGCCCCTGAGTTCAATCCCGGGTTCCAAAAAAAAGACTTGGTAAACCAGCTAGAACTAGTCAGGCAGTGGGTGCTAGGTGTGGGAGAAGGTGCCAGAAAGAGGAGAGAAATCTCTAAGTCATGGATGTGAGAAAGAACACAACATCTTTGGGAAATTCAGTAGGTCTGGCACAGATTGGGTGTCATTTGTATGGGAGTCGGCACCATGCCTTTGAATGGGATCACCCAGGAGAAGGTGGTGAGCGAGACTATGTCAGGAACAACACTGAAGAGTGCATGGCAGAGGAAGGGAGGCTTCTGAGGGAGACTGAGAAACAGTGGTAAGGACAGATGGAAACCAGGCAGGAGGAGTGGCAGAAGCCAAAGAAAAGTGTGATCTGCGACAACAGGCAGTTCTCAGCCCACTCAGACTAAGGAAAGAAAAGCAACACCTGGGCTCTTAGAAATCTTGGTTTTGGTGGTTGGAAAGATAGGTGGAAGTTAAAGGCCATGGGCAGCTGGGCTGGAAGATCAGCTCAAGAGGAGGTAGGCAGTGAGAGAAATAGCTACAAGTAGTGCAGCGTGGAAATAAAGGTCTTGTTAAAGTTGATTTTATTAATAGTTGTCATACAGTGCTCCAGTGTGTCAGGCACTCTTCTGGACACTTTACACACATTTTAACTCATTTCTTCCTCATGGCAATTCTAGAATATAAATACTGTTATTATCCCCATTTATAAATGGGATACCCACAGCACAGAGGTTAGAGAAACCTCCTAAGGTGAGTGGCAAAGCCCTTATTCACACCACACAATTTGGATCCAAAGTCCTTTTTCTTTTTTTTTTTTTTTTTTTAATTTTTTATTGTGGGTTGTTCAAAACATTACAAATTTCTTGACATATCATATTCCACACTTTGATTCTAGTGGGTTATGAACTCCCACCTTCACCCCATACACAGATTGCAGATTCACATCAGTTACACATCCATTGATTTACAAATTGCCATACTAGTGTCTGTTGTGCTCCGCTGCCTTTCCCATCATCCAAATGGAAGGAGACCCTCAGGGTTATACAGTGGAGGGGGTAGAGAGAGAGGAGGGGAGGGGAGGGGAGAGGTGGGGAGTGCAAAGTCCTTTTTCTTAACCCTGACAACACACTGCCTTTTATTCGGTCACCAAAAACATTTTGCCCCCTTCCCACCTGCCCAAGAAAGGATGAGAAGCTAGAGTCTAAAAGAGAGAAAGAGCAGAAATTAATTTTAACAAAATATTAATAATGTCATAATTTTAACAAAATGTTGTTAAAAAACCTACTGTGTGCCTGACATACTTCTACCAAGAATTATCAGTGAAGGATTAAAAAATAAAAGGTAAAAATCTCCCTTATGGAATTTAAATTCTGCAGGAAAATTAACACGTAAATTAAGCAAGATTGATTAGTAAATTATATATGTCGTCCCCTGGAGATCCCCCAGTGAGTGCCAGAAAGTGGGGATACTACCAAAACCTATGTTTTTCTTTATTCATTTGTATTGTAAATCTTAGCAACGTCTGCATATTATTTCTTTTTCTTTTCTTATTAAATCAAGAATTTTCACCTTTTCACTTAAAGAAAGCACTTTACAACTCCTCATTGGCAGGACTACTTTGCCAGCATCACTACTCCTGTGCTTTATGGTCATTATTAAAACCAGGGGGCTGGGGCTGGGGCTCAGTGGTAGAATGCTTGCCTTCCACATGTGAGGCACTGAGTTCGATCCTCAGCACCACATAAAAATAAATAAAGATACTGTGTTTATCTACAACTATATAATAATAATAATAATAATAATAATAAATATTTTTTTAAAGAGAATCATTAAAAAACAAACAGAGTACCTTGAACACAAGCACTAAGACACAGCAGTCAATCTGATAACCAAGGCAGTTACTAAGTGACTAACATCATACTGCTCAGAAGTACATGTACTTTATAACTTATGAAGTGCTCGGTTCTGAAATTTTCCATTTAATTTTTTCAGACCACAAGAACCCAAAACTACAAAGAAATCACAAAGAGGACTACTATAATATGTTAGAAGGTGAACAGGGCAATGGGAAAAATAAGTAAAGCATTCATGGTAGAATGTCCCAGAAGGAGAGTTAGGAGTTGTGAATTTTGGCTGAGAAAGAAAAGGAGGTGCAGGAGCAGGCCATGTAGATGTCCTGGAGGGAGCCTTCCAAGCAGAGAGAACAGCAAGAACAAGGGGCATATAACAAAGGGTTAATAGGACCCTTCATTTCATCTTCTGCAGAATTTTACTTTTTTTAACTTTCTCAGCTTTCTCACTGTTTCTCAGAAACCTGGTAAAAGTGGAAAGTTAACTGTGTTATTGGGCCATATTGCTCCTGGCATAAATGACCACTGATTGGTCAGCTATATCTGGGCTGGGAAAGAGATAAAAGCCTGGTAGGAAGCCATTTCATTGGATTTCTGTGATTGTAGTAACACTTGTAACTGTATGGCTCGGTACATCAAAGATTTATGGGTCAAGCTGCAAGAGATGTTTGCTTCTTTAGGGCTCAAAGCTTTTAAGTCAGGGTAGGTCTTGGATCTGCCTAGGATGGGTCTTTTCCTTATACCTGAGATATGGGGGGAGGAGATACTGGGAGGGACACTAACTCTAGGCAGCAGTGTGGACCACAACATAGACAACTGTGAAGATTTTCCCAAAGAAGGAAGCTCAGTCCTGCCTTGCTGGCAAGCTGTGCCTCCAATCCTGTATCTTCTTTGTGTGTGTGTGTGTGTGTGTGTGTCATTATGGTTTTATTAAAGTGGCATTGGAAACATGTGTAATTAATAAAGACAAAAGAGACATGTATCCATTCTAATAACTCAGATTTGGGGGGTTGAGGAGTTAAAATTAGTTTTGTTAGAATATTAAAATGTGAAGGATTCAACAAAAGATTTACTTAGTTTCGTATACATAAGTTGGTTATGCTTTTAAAATTTAGACTGAAAAGAAAGAAAAACAATATGAAACCATGCTCTCAGGAAACATATGGAGAGGCAGAAACACAGGGAGATTTTCAGGAAAAGTTCATATTTACCAAATACCTGAATATTTGCTTTATTTTTTTATCACCTGTACAACTAGATTTTTTTCCTAGGGAAAAGCCTGAATATTATAGCTCTTTATGTTTCAACTGGCTAGACAAGGAGGTTATATGCACTCAGTAACCATGAAAAATGAGTGAATGAGTGAATTAATGAATGAATACATAAATAACACAGACTGAGGAAAAATCAATGGAAAATATCAATACTTGAAGGACAAACATTGAACTTCAGTGAATTGAAATAAATACATTAAGAATAGTTCAAGATATCAGAGAGGATCCAGGAGAAAATAATTAAGGGGAGAGAGATTTGAGATGGAGGGAGAGGGCAATAGATATCCAAATGCAGTTAATCATTAAAATAGGTCAATGTATCTTTTATTTATTTTTTTTATTGGTTGTTCAAAACATTACAAAGCTCTTGACATATCGTATTTCATACATTTGATTCAAGTGGGTTTTGAACTCCCAATTTTACCCCACATACAGATTGCAGAATCACGTCGGTTACACATCCACATTTTTACATAATGCCCTATTAGTAACTGTTGTATTCTGCTACCTTTCCTATCCTCTACTATCTCCCCTACCCTCCCCTCCCATCTTCTCTCTCTACCCCATCTACTGTAATTCATTTCTCTCCTTGTTTATTTTCCCATTCCCCTCACAACCTCTTATATGTAATTTTGTATAACAATGAGGATCTCCCTCCATTACCATGCAATTTCCCATTTCTCTCCCTTTCCCTCCCACCTCATGTATCTGTTTAATGTTAATCTTTTCTTCCTGCTCTTCCTCCCTGCTTTGTTCTTAGTTGCTCTCATTATATCAAAGAAGACATTTGGTATTTGTTTTTTAGGGATTGGCTAGCTTCACTTAGCATAATCTGCTCTAGTGCCATCCATTTCCCTGCAAATTCCATGATTTTGTCATTTTTAGTGCTGTATAATACTCCATTGTGTATAAATGCCATATTTTTTTTATCCATTCATCTATTGAAGGGCATCTGGGTTGGT